GAACAAGAACAAGAACAAGAACAAGAACAAGAACAAGAACAAGAACAAGAACAAGAACAAGAACAAGAACAAGAACAAGAACAAGAACAAGAACAAGAACAAGAACAAGAACAAGAACAAGAACAACAACAACAACAACAACAAGAACAAGAACAAGAACAAGAACAAGAACAAGAACAAGAACAAGAACAAGAACAAGAACAAGAACAAGAACAAGAACAAGAACAAGAACAAGAACAAGAACAAGAACAAGAACAAGAACAAGAACAAGAACAAGAACAAGAACAAGAACAAGAACAAGAACAAGAACAAGAACAACTACAACAACAACAACAAGAACAAGAACAAGAACAAGAACAAGAACAAGAGCAAGAACAAGAACACGAACGAGAACAATAACAATAACAAGAACAAGAACAATAACAAGAACAGTAGCAGCAACAGCAACAGCAATAGCAATAGCAATAGCCCTAGCAACAGGAACAGGAGCAGCAACAGCAGCAACAGCAACAGCAGCAACAGGAACAGCAGCAACAGGAACAGCAGCAGCAGCAGCAGCAACAGCAACAGCAACAGCAACAACTGCAACATCAACTGCAACAGCAACAGCAACAACAACAGAAACAAGCAAAGCAGGCCGAAACTACCTAAAGCCAACTAACAAAGCAAACATAACCGAGCACCAAAAAGCCCACACCAAGCTAAAGCCAAGCCAACACCAACTGAAAGCGCCTATGGTACCAGACACGCGCCAAGCTCCCCTGCCCGCCAGGTGCCGCCCACGCCAGAGCCTAGCTCTCCCAGTTCTCCTTGTTCCCCGAGTGCGGAGAAGCTGGCGCTGCAGGAGAGGGCCGATCCGAACTTTCGGATGGACACCTCGACTGTATGATGGATGCCCTCTCTCTTTCCCTTCAACCCTTAAAAGGGTAGCCTCAACAAAACCAAAAGGTTTTTTGAGGTGCGGTGCACCTTTCGGCTTGGAAAAACTAACCAAAAGAAAATCACTGTTTTTAGGCTCCCCCTATTCTGAGATATACCGATTTAATCCTTTGGCTTCCCAGCAAAACAACCCAAGAATACCAATGGGTTGCAACCCCCACTCTTTGTGTCGCGGGCTGGCCTTTATTTCCATTCAAGACCACTCATAACTGACCCAAAACCATCTGGAAAGACCATGTGGTCAAGCCGTCCCTTGGTATAGTGAGCCTGTTGTTGCTTCTTCTTTTGAAACCATCCGAGAATGAGGAGGCTCCCAAATGGTTAGACCTTGTGGACAAATGTGGGTTGTGCATTTGCAACGGAGAAAAGCAGGCCCAATCTGGTACTTGATGGCCAAGCCATTTGGGTGTATGCAAAGTTGTCCTTACAACATAGGGACAAACTAGTTGCACGATAATATCTGCCCACTTGGCAATGGTTATGCTTGTCAAAGTTAGGCAGCACCGATCTGGTGTGTACAGTCATGCTTCAACCCGGACCTTGCGGGTGATTTCACACAGGGCAATCCATTCTAAACATATAGTTTTTAGTGGCCAAAGAAAGGCCAAGATACCATTGTGGTTGACTGAGCAGGGGTTCTCGAGCCCGAGAAGTATCAAGGCACAAAGTAGGACGGCATGCGACAATGTGCTGCCAGCTTGTAGTATGCCAAAAGTCACATAAGACGTGTGTTTCTGCATTTTGCGCATCTTGTTTCTTGACGCATTCAGTATGCGTTTTTCAGGGTCTTGGGGAGGCAATGGGAGCCCTGGATGCACCGGCGCACCTCCACCTTTGTATAAACCAAGGCCTGGCTTACGCAGGCAGAAACGGCACAAGAACCCAGCAGTGTGCTCTGTCCACTGCTTTTATAAACGATGCAAGTCAGGTGGCTAGATGGCTGGCTGTTTGATTGGCTGCTCGGTTGCTTGCTTTGTTGGTTGGCCGCTCGGTTGCTTGGCTCGTTGGCTAGCTGCTTGGTTGCTGGGTTTGTTGAGTGGCTGCTTGATTTGTTGGCTCGATTGCTCGGTCGGTCGATCGCTTGGTTCGTTGATTGGTTTTCCATTGGTTGGTTTGACGCCGAGGATTCCTCCTCGGCCTGGCGGGGGCAACGCCTTTACCGGGCGGAGTTTGCTGCACTGCGCTGCTTGCAGAGGCAGGGAGACATGCGGGTTCCAGCTGTCGCCACGTTGTTGTTGCTGGTCGTGGTGGCTGTGGTTGTGGTTGTCGTATTGTGGTTGTGGTTGCAGAACAAATATATTTCTCCAGACCCCTTCCCGAGAAACAACGCCAAGTCGATGGTTTAAACAAAGGTGGTTGAAACCATGTTTTCAACAGTCCCTGCAGCAGGTCTTTGGAAATGACACCCAGAGGGAAGCCAGTCTCATCTTAGAACCCGCCTTTGGCCGGGGTGAACAGAGAGGATGCAGAGCATTTCCCCCATCCTCCATGTCATATGAGGGCTTATTCCTATTCTAGGATATCTTGTCCCTTCGTGGACTTTGATTGAGGCCAACATGGTGTATATCAACATGAATACGACTTGAACGCCTCAGTCTCAGACCGCCGACATTACACCTGCTTTCTTATGTGGCGTACAAGTATTCCAGGATTCCCCTAGTATTCCCCGAGTATTCAACCGTAGTACTTCCCTAGTATTCCTTTAATATTCCCCTAGTGTTATCCCTTATGTTCCCCCCAGTAGTCACCTGGTACTCCTCATTTTCTCCTCGTATTCCCCTAGTTTTGCCCTAGTATTCCTGCAGTCTTTTCTTGGTACACCCCTAGTATTCTCTCAATATTCCCCCAATCTGCCCTTGCAATTCCCTCGTATCCTCCTAGTGTTCACCCCAATTCTCCTAGTAGTCCCCTGTCTTCCCCCTCGATATTTTCCTGCTGCTCTAGTATTCCTTAGTATTTTCTAGGCATACCCAGTATGCCTTTAGCATTCTGTCGGAATTTTCGCTAGTCCCTGAGCATTGGTTGCATTAGTATTCCCTGAATATTCCGCTGGTATTCCCTATTCCCTCAGTATTCTCTTGCTTCCCAATATGTTGCCCTAGCATGACTTAGTTGGTCTCTTGGTTGTCCCCTAGTATGCTTTCTTTGCAAGACACGAAAAGGGAAGGACCTTTCATTTGACCCTAGTTGCTCCCGTTTTCCAGGAATTCATGCTGATAATGATGCTGGTGATGCTGGGGATGCTCGAACTCCAAAGCACCTGAAGAGAACGTCTTGGAATCACCAGGTCATCGGGAAGCTACTCAGCATTTCTTGTGCCCAACAGTCTTACTTACATAATCACACACACACACACAGCCACAGAATCACGTATTGCAACATCACCTTCCCACATTTGGACATCAACTTGTCACATCATCACACTATCGCGTTCTAGCATTGCTATATTAGCACATGTTGCAGCACTAACAAGCTGATTCCTACGAAAATGAGCCACAATCAAGCCATAGTTTCAGTTGAGGGCATCGGCTCAGCCGCCCCAAGGTATTTCTTTTACATGGATTTGGGTAGACCTCACTGACTCGTGCTGCTTCGCTTGAGCCACCGGCCTAGGCTGGTGCCACAATGGCTCATGCGCCTCGGAGCGAAGCCAAATGCAGCAAATGCCTCGCTCTAGAAGTGCGTAAATACCTAGTTTGGAGCCTGGAGCATTGCAGTTTTGCGGATGGATTGGACCAGAGGTGAAGCCAATGCCGCAATTTTGTGTGGGCAGCCTCAGCTTGAATTGATCCATTTGGGACTTTCTTGCAGCGATACTTTCGAATGCGAGTGGGCGGAAATGAGAAGTGAGACATCACTTTCTGGCCGCCATTTTTGCTTTCCAGGAGGGTTGGTGGAGCAGCCACTGTGGCAGCCAAGGGTTCGAACATTCTCAAATCACATGCCAAGAGATAGCGTGTAGATGGGATATAGGGATGGAATGAATGCGAGAGAATGAGAGCATTCAATGGGAGAGGAAAGGGTCTCATGTCATTATCTCTCTACTCGTTCCTCCGTCTCGCGAATATTCCATGAGAACTTGATGTGTGAGAGAGAGGGAGAAAAAGACCGAACGGACAGGTCAGTCCCATCTATCATTTTTGGATGGGTTTCATCTCTCTAACACACACACACACAAGGAACGGGCTGTGAGGAAGGGTGTGATAGAGAGGAGATAGACAAGTCTTATCTATTGGTCACTATCTCCTGTCTCATACCTTCACCAGTCGTTAGTTCCATTCCTGTATCGTGTTTACTCGCTGCCGTCTATCTCTGATGAAGATTGGACAAGATTATGAATGAGGCAGCGAAAAGAGAGGACAGGCAGCAGCCATCAGAGAACCAACATTAAAGCCACTGGAAGGCAATTGAGAGCGAGAGATGGATGGTAGGTGGCATTCATGCCTGGTTTCTCCCGTCAACAGACGAGGCAAGGCATTGAAAAGCAGAAGTTGACCGTTGACCACCCAACCCTTTCCCTTCCTTGTCTCGTCACTTTCCTACATAGCCGTCAGGCAGCCAGAGACCATTCAGTCAGGGTTGGACGAAACTTTTACCAAGCCCTGGCCGTGTTTTGACTGAAAGGAAACCAAACCGAGAATGAAGCAACAACCAGCGGTTTTACCCCATCTTTAAACGGCTTGAATCGCTGAAGGCTTTGTCCCTCAGCTGGTGCTTGTCCTCCTAAAAGCGACAGAACCCCTTCAGGTGACTGACCATGTTTCGGCTTTTCTCATTGACCACCTGGAGTTTCTCAAAACGGAGCCTCTTTTGGTTCAACCGAAAGCTTTAGAGGACCGAGGGGCCACAATTCTTTCGCAGCGCCCGAGGCTGCCTGTCGCCTTGTTCATCCACCACCTCGCCTCCGAGGATCGGATGGCCTTCCGGGGGACGAGAGAAGACGGGCTCGAGATGTTCGCTCAGCTGGGTGTCTTTGGGAATCCTTTTAGTTCAACATGGGCACCAAGAGGAAAATAGGCTTCTTTTTCTGTCATTGTTTTTTTTTTGGGGGGGGGGGTTTTACTAAAAAGAGACACACATATGTTCGGTCAAGATTTCCAGTTTATGGTCCAGTTAGGGACGTGGACTCACTAAAGTTTCCCACTTTTCCCAAATGTCCTTTAAAGGAAACAAGTAATTGTAAACGCTTCGCGTTGCCCGCCTCGGCCCAGCCTAGTTTGAGGGAAGGGTCAGGAACACCGAAATCCAGTGTTGGGAAGGTCCGAATCCTACCGAAAGCTTGTGACCGCACCAGTTCGCCCGTGCTAGTTCGATGTTCGGAAGCCGTCCTGCTCGGAAGGTTTGAAATCCAAAACCAAGACTGTCAGCCTGGGCTGAGCTGCTTGGGCAGCCGGACTGGGGGGCTGGGGCACGTCAGACAGGCTTAGTAGCTGGCGTAGCTTGGGACCAGTCTCAGACACGTGAGACTGGTCGTTGGCCTAGACACGTTAGACAAACCTGACCTTGGCACGCTGGGCTGGGGGCCGGCCTAGTGGCTGGCAGCAGGCGGGCTGAGGGACTGGGCCTGAGGCTAGTCTCAGCCTGGCATACTTTGAGACCAGTCTCAGACTGCGCCGAAGGGGCTGGGGCTGGCACGCTGCGCTGAGCCTGCTGGTGGGCTGGGAGCTGGGGGCCGGCCTAGTGGCTGGCATGCCTGGGATGCACCGGGGCTTGGGCTGGGCAGGGTGGGTTGCTGGCTGCCGGGCCGGACTACGGGCTGGGCTGAGCTGTGCTTGGGCGGGTTGCTGGATGGGCAAGGCCTGTTTCATACACACTTGGGTCTGAGGCTGGGTGGCGAGTTGCTGGCTGGGCTGGGCCTGCGGCCAGTCGCAGACACGTAAGACACGCCAGCAGGCGGGCTGAGGGACTGGGCCTGAGGCTAGTCTCAGGCAGGAGGTCGGCCTGGGCTGAGCTAAGCTTAGTAGCTGGCGTAGCTTGAGACCAGTCTCAGACACGTGAGACTGGGAGGCCAGTCTCAGACACGTTAGACAAACCTGACCTTGGCACACTGAACTGAGCCTGCTGGTAGGCTAAAAACTAGGGGCCGGCCTAGTGGGCCTGGGCTGGGCTGGGCTTGCTGGATGACTTGGGCCGTGCTTGGGCGGGTTGCTGGTTGGGCTAGGCCTGGTTCAGACAAGCTTGGGCCTGAGGCTGGGTGGGCTGGGCTGACAGGCCTGGCCAGCAGGCGGGTTGCTGGTTGGGCTGGGCCTGAGCCTAGTCTCAGACACGTCAGACAGGCCTGAGGTCATGCTTTTCAGGACAAAAAAGTAGCAATTCCCATGGAGCTGGACGCCGACGAACCCCGAAAATTTCAAGGCCCGCCGGACAGGATTTTGGGCCAGCCGACATGGGTGGGGGGGGGTGGGGGGGGGGGGCGGCCCGGCAAAATTTTGGTTGGGGGGGAGGGGAAAAGCGAAGATTCTCTTTGGAGAAGAGATCTGAGCGCCCTTGGCCCCTTTGGGGCCGAGGCGAATTTTGAACATGGCGCACATGAGGGTCAGTTTGGTAGAATGGACGGTATAGTTGGTTATTCGACGCCCATGGCGTCCGTTGTGGTTTGGGCCTGCAAGCCAAAATGTACAAAGTGGGTCAAGTGAATGGGGGGGGGGAACCATGGGCGATTTCAAGCCAGAAGCCCCATTGCCAATGGGCTAGGGGTGGAGACGTTTGCATAAGTGGGCATGAGTCCATACAGGTTGCATTTTCTTGATGGATGTGAGAGGAAGCCGAAGAAACCCAGGCATTTGGGAATGGGATCGATGGTGTCTTACTGCTTACCCCCGTTTTTTTTCTTCACCCCCCAGCACCTTTCTTCCAGGGGGACCCTCCTGACTAGAAACTGGGTTCACGAATCCGGGGTCAACACCAAAGGCACTCTGGAGGTGCAACAGTTTTGGTTGATCCCTGCTGCGGCCAATCAGTTGGGGGATCCAACACAAAGATTGCACCTTCCAAATCCCTTGCATGATGCGCCACAGCCTGTAAATTCCGGCACCTGAGGGCGGGTCTGCACAGGGCACTGAAGTTTCTTTATGGCAGCGAGGCAAGCAGCAAAAACGAGAGCAGGAACATCACTGAAAGCAGGGGAACAGCCAGGATGAAGTGTTGCCTTCAGAGACTGGTGACAGATTATTGCCATGAACCCCTTTCAGGGAAAACCTAAAACAGCGGTTCAAACGTGTTTAAATCAGCTAGCTCTCCAAAGGAAAGTAAATAGCGCAGGCAGTTCTTTTCAAGCCAAGTCCAGGGCTATCCCTTTCACATGGAAAAGATCTTCCCTGCAGGGAGACAACACGTGCCTCCCAGCTCGAGAGTGGTGGGGTGAACCTGCCCCCGCCCCCCCCCCCCTCCCCCGAAATGCATCACAATCTGACAGCCACGGCGTCCAGAAGACGCAGCCGACATCACTTTTCTGGGAGAAGCACGGGGAGTGGGGCTGAGGAGAGGGTTGTGGTCTCCTAGACTGTTTGCGGCCCGCACAAGTTCACCAACTGAGGTAATGATCCTTCCGCTGGTGGGTGTGCCCGGCTCTCAGAAAAATGGGTGGCTCGGGCCGACGGATGGTCTGAGGGTCCCCCTCTCAGCATGGCCTTGTCAAACGAAATGGAGCCTTTTCTCTCACGCCCTTATCGTGGGTCAGCTCCCCTGGCCAGTGAGAAATATAAATCGGGATTTGGCCGAGCAAGCAAGCTGCGCTCGATCTGAGACAGACCCACATGCAACCAACTTGGGTGCATGTCGGAGGTTGAAACGCAAGGGCCCCCAGAAACCACCACCCTGCCCCAAATCTGATCTTGCGCTGATAAAGCCGTGGGTTTCCTTGATGGGTTTCTGCTTGGGAACAAGAACACGCATCGCCTCGGCCCGAAAGCTGGCCTTCCCCAGCCATTTTGGCTTGCAGCGCCGAAGGAAGGCTCTTCGAGGGTGGCCAGAGTTGCACAATGCCCGACGGCGTTATCTCCACGATGGAAGTGCGCGGGGTGCTTTTCGCAGTTCAGATCCGGAAGGGCTCCGTGGACGTCGAGCCCGTGCGACGTGGCAGCAAGGGTGGACCCGGTTCCCCAGATCGCACCCAAGCAACTTTGTTCGGCTCAGAAAACATCGATCGACCAGACCGTAAAGTTTGGGCTCCTTGATTCAAAGAACCCCTCAATGTTTTTTGATGTTTTTTGGAGGCCAACACCAATATGTCCAAAATCTTCGAACAGAGGCAGCGGGTTCTAGGCCGCTTGCGACTCGAGTCAAGGCACATGGACTCCAAGCTCTCACGCAGCAGCTCGTGCCCCGCCTGTGCAGGGAGGCCTTTGGAAGTCGAGGCTGGCAAACTTCAAGAAGCAACCAGGTCGGTCCCTTAAAGTGGTTGCATGCTGAGGGGTTCTCAAATTCCTTAATTCCTTTTGGGTCCTGGTTTCCTGTGTTGACACCATGTGAGAAGGCTTGGACATTTTGTGTTTGGTTCTATAGGCCCACCCCGACCCGGTGCCGGTGCCGGAGACGGCAGCGGCTGCCCCGCAGTTCGCGGATTCGCTGGCGCTGCACCGGAGTGGCAAGCGCCCTGGAGCTGGGGATGTGGGCCGGGGATGCAGGGGAGGGGGGGGTGGGGAGTTGCGGGGAGGGGATTCCTAGGCTTGTAATGTTTTTTCCGGACCGTTATAACTAGCATTCTTAGCTTAGCTGTTCAAGGACCGGCCGCCTTACGGTTTCCGGAGGGGAATGTGGATTAGGATAGGGCCAGGCGGCATTTTGAAAAGCCCAGCTTGGAATTTCGAGCCGCTGCAAGGCTGCCAGGCATTGTCAGACTTGCGCAGGTTGACTTGTTCCGAGTTTGCCTTTCGACCGTTTCGGCAACAAACAAACTAAAGCGAGCTGTTTTACACCTATTTCCCGTGAAGACCCCGCTACTTGCTCCATTCGGCAATTTACAGCAGAGATGCTGGGGCAACGTCAAACCGGTGCAGCAGCTCTGCATTTCAGATGTTCCGAAACTCATCTCCAAGAGAGGCTCGCAGTGATCCCTTTTGCAAAAGCTCCCAGCATCGACGCATCGACAGCCAACTATGCAATGATGGACTGGACAAGCACTGATGCCTCTCGCGATTTTGGCAGTTCAGATGTTCCTCAGATCCTCACCTTTGCCAAATCCACCACCGTCAGCTTACGACAGCCAACACATCACACTTAATCAAAGGCTATCCAAACCAATGCAACAAGGGCTGTCTTAGCGTACTCCCAAGGTGGGCAGACCTCGAAACGCAAAGCTTCGTTTTTTTTTTTGGCTTGAACGAAATGCATGCAGCTTTTAGCTGAATTTCAGAAGAGCAGGCGGGGGCAAGACATGCTGACTGCCATGGCGACTCTTCCGCGTGATTGACCATTGGGCGTGCTCTCATTGCAACAATTGTGGAAGCTGATAGGTCTTCCCCAAAGTTGATGTTCATGTTTTGCTTCAGAGGGAACTTGGCCGCTGGCATGTACAATGTAAGGTTCACTGATGGACCAGAGTCAGTCACATGTGAGTTTCTCAAAATGGTGGACCTTTCTTGTGTCTCACATGAGAATCCATTTTCATTACACTCAAAATGGTTGACCTTCCATTCTCAAAAATTGGGTCCATATTCAATGGAAAACCCAAAGAAGACCAGCCATCCTAGAGGGCTCCTGTTTGAGACACGAGGTGCCTGCCATGCATCTTCTCCTCGCGCATGGCGGACGGGTGCCGCCTGGGGGACCAGTGCCCGCGCTGCCAGCTGGCTTTGCTTTATCAAGTTCAGTGGGTCCTAAACTAGGGCACCCCTGTTTCAGAGGGGAAAGAAATCTGGTCAAAAGCCATGTGGTTGCTTCTTCCTTTTCTTCTCTTTCCTCTTCAATCATCATCGTGATGATCATCATCATCATCATCATCATCATCTTCTGCTTTCACTACTTCTTCCTTTTTGTTGAAGCGTGTTTTTCACTTTTTGGGCCGATCGTGTTTTCGGCATTTGTGCGTTCACAAATCGGAGCCAAGGTCACATCTGCACCCTGAAGGAGATGAAGAGCCAACGCCGGCGCTGGCGTCGTGCTGCGAAGAGGAATGCAAAGAACCAGGAGAAGGAGCTGGGAGCTGGCGGGCGTGAGATGGGTTCCGAGTTGCGTTTTGAACGGAACCACTGGGACTCGAAGGAGCCATCATTTGCGGATTAGCATTAGGGATGCTGCAATGCTTATTGAAACGAAGTCGAGGCCAAGTGAGGTCAAGGAACAATCACCTGGGACAACACCGACCAATTTGTTGACTATAGGCAACTTTTGGAGTGTCAATTCAATGTACCCAGAAAGAGCGATGAAGTTGTTGATGTGTAGACTTTCCTGAGCTGCTCTTCCGATGGCGTACAGTTCTAACTCTGCTGAGAGTGCTATGGTTGCTTGTGTTCTTCTTCCATACTGTATTGCTGTTCCAAAGAATTGCATCACAAACTCAGTGGTGCTCTTTCTTGTTGTCTCGCATGAAGTTTAGTTGGCATCTGTGTATGTGTCAATGTTGAGTAGAATTATCTTGCCCTTTATCTGTGTCTTTGGTCGCAAGTTGTGTCTCATGTAGTTGTACCCAGATGCGTAAGCTTCTTGTTGTCAAGTTGTGTTGGTGCCTGTCGTGATTTTGCTAACTCCTTTGCTCCATAGAATGTCTGGTCTTGTGTATGCTAGCCACTTTATTTTGCCAACAAGCCGCCTGTATTGTGGTCTGGAAGTGCTTCATCTTCTGCTGTACCTTTGGTATGTAACACTCCTGGTGTTGGTGCTGGTTGCATGTCGTCATGCCTGATTCTTGCAGTGACGTCGATGTAGCTGTCTTCCAGGCTGATGTGGATGTAGCTGTCTCTATGTGTGATGTTTCTGCCAAGGAAGTGCATTGTTGACCCTATATCAAGGTTGCCTGTGTATCTTTGCAGTACCTCCGCTGAACAGTGTGTCGATCTGTACTCCTATGAATAGGAGATTGTCTACATAGATCAGGATGTAGAGGCAGTCCTTTGACCTGTAAACGTTCTATTGTGCATCTCACAAGTTCAAGTGTGACTGTAAATATGTGCACTATGTGGTTTTGCCACTTTTTTGGTAAGATCGTGAGCCGTATGTGGCTTTGTTCAGCCGCCGCATGAAATCATTTTGTGTCTGTTTGGTGTGCGGTAGACCTCCTTTTGTGGTTGCATGATCAGGTTGCATGTGCTGCAGCATGTAGAAACGCAACGCTGACATCTCCTGTCCAGACCGCCCAGTTGTACACCAGTGCCATCGTGATAATACCTCTCAGTGTGCCAAAACAAAGGCGTACTTGCAAAGAGTATTCGTGCTCGCGCTTCACTGTTTTTGTTTCGGTTTGAGAACCCATTTTGACTCGATGATGTTTGCTTGTTGTTCTGGAGTCAACGTACGGCCATCAATCCCTGTGAAGACTGATTGGTCCTTCATTTGTTGCACTTCCTCCTTTATTCCTTGTGCCACTTGTTCTGGATTCAAGCCTTCCGTGTCGTGTATGGTTGGCTTTAGTAGAATCTTTTTGTTTTCTATCCCTTGTGCATCTTCGATTGCTGTGGTCTCGTGTTGTTTACCGCTTGTTGTAAACTTGATAGCCTTGATCCTCATTCTACCTTCTGGTTGGTTGCGCCAGAGCTTGTTGTTCTGTTGTGGCGCGCTGTTGCTTGCCTGTACTTCCTTCTGCAATCGCGTCGTCTCTTTCTCTTCTTGCGGAGGTTGGCGGTGGTGCTGGCAAGCTGGCCTCTTCTGATGTGTTGGAGATGTCGCCATTGGTCATGTTGGCTCTGTTGTCTTCTTCTGCATTGTCTGCTGGTCATCCTGTTGTGTTGTGCTCTGTCCCTTGTCTTCGTTGTGCTTGTTGCTGCATCCTTCTGTGACGCAGGTACTGTACTTAGTGGTGGCGTTGCTACTGGTGTTGTGAGGGTCGGTGTAGCCAGTGCTGATGCTGGTGTCTTCCATGGCTCAAGTTTTGGAGCGTGTTTGGCTGTGGGTAGCGTGTTGCGCTGCCTCTCGCGAAATGTTGTGTGTGTTGCTCTCGGCCCTATCTGTTGAAATAGCTTGTTGCTGCGTTTCTATGGATTGCGTATCTGTTCATGATGTACGCGCTAGGTCGAACAATCCGAGGCATGCGTCGATGTTCCATTGGGATGTCTCTGTTGCAGTTCTCTCTCGTTTGTGCCTTTAGTGTTCTGAGCATGTTCTGTCTCCCCGCTCAGCTCCACCTTGTGATTGTGAGCTGCATGCTCCTGAGTTGCTTCTTGCGATGTTGCCATTCTTGATGGACACACTTGTGATCAACGCGGTCAGGACATCCTCCTGATCTGATTGTAGAACTGTGTGAGTTGTTCTTCCACATCAGTGAGGAAGTTGCGTGACTGCGTAGTTGAAGAGCAGTCTCCTCTTGGTCAGTTCGGCCACGATCGTCCCAGATAGGATGCCGATTGCTGTGCGAATCGGACGCACGTTGCCGTCGTCAATGCCCTTCACATGGCCGAAGTCGAGCTGTA